CCACATTCATTGTTTGGAATTCTATGTGGAAAATTTGTCTGTTCTCCCACATATATGTATTTGTTCAACCATTTATGTCAGTATGGACTCATGGATATTTATTTGATACTCTTTTAATTGGCTTTTCTATTTCTTTGCCATACCTCCATCATCTGATTTTTAAAGTTTTTCTTATTATATGTCACTATAAAATACTCCAGACTCATCTCACATTTTTCCTGTCCTAGTCGAAGAATCAGCCATTACTCCAAATAGCCCTGACTAATGTACTTTTGATTCATCTGGAGGAGAACTGCCCATCTCTTTGAGGTACCTTTAAGAAACCTCAAAAAAAAAAAAAAAAAAAAGGTTTTTTTTGTACTGTATGTAACCTGTATCCTAGTAAGAACATATAGCAAAAATGTGTTAAATCTATTTTTGTATTAAGTGCTAACATAGATAATTGCCAGGATTTTCTGATGTAGCTGTGATTGATTTGTAATTTTTAAAGCATGGTTTCTTCAGTGTCAGAGATCAGGACCTTCTGCATGTTAGACAAGCACTTTTCCACTGAGTATATCCCTAACTCCTGATTAATAACTTTCTTTACTAAGTTTTGGTATCAGGGTCATGCTATATTTATGAGATGAATTTATGAAACAGTGGAATTAAGCATTTGCAGTCTAGTTTGTCTCAATCAATACGGTGGGGTAAATATGATTTAAAGATATTCAGATTTTTAAATTCAGAGAAGGAAAGTGTTATGTTTTTCTCTATAGTCAGAGAAGTAGTTTAGAATTAAGTACTTATGTTTAAGACTTTACTTTAAAGCACTGTCTTCTGTTTGTCTTGTTTATTCCTGACAAAGATCCTGTGAATTAAGTTGTACTGAGGAAACTGTCTCAGGGAGGTAAAATAATTTGATTGAAATCATGTAGCAGGTGGCAGTCCTAAAAATCAAACCCAGCTCTTTTCTCATGTGTAATACCAGAGTTTTTAAATCATACCATACTTACATGTAGAGAAAATATCTCACATTTAAACCTTAAATTTATGTTGCTTCTTTTGTGTTAAAATATGGACATTTGAAGATAGACACATACAGTCACAACCTCCTGTGATTTGAAATATCCATATTATTTTGGGGATAATATTGGTGGCACAATACCTGTTCTTTGAAAAAATAGCAACTTGAAAACAAAAAGCTTAAGCATT